CACACTTAGCAGAAAAAAGGGGGAATTTGAAACTTGCCTACAATCATATAAATTCCAAGATATCATTTTCGAACATCTGGCTAACTCCTACATTTTCTCCCAGGAACGTAAATTTTACCAAAAGACGTGTTTTTCCCCTCCTTAAGCAATCGAGAAGTCGGACATTATCAGGACTTGGTCTGTCTTACCTCAACCTGCCAAGAACTGACTCTCCCCAAGGCCGGGTGCTCGTAAAAACTTCTCAGGGGTCATTCTGGAAGGTTCCAGGATTTAGTCTTTATCAAACCCCTGGTATTTTTCTGTTTATCCACAGTCAAAAGGTGTTTTAGTTTGCTTATCCATTAAAATTCAAGGTGTTCCCAAGTAAATGTTTAAACTTTCATCAGTTACAAACCTAAACTACTTGTGTTGTTTTTTCTTTCATGTTAAACTTCTGCCATAGTGTTTCACCAGTTCAAAATCATGCTAAAGGGATACAGTCAAGCTTAAGACCTGAAGTTAGTTCTTTTCTGTGTAAAGTAATACTTTTTGAGGCCTTATTTGGAATAACTTTGTTAAAATTGTGCGCATGAATCTCTCATGGTTGGAAAACTGGGTTATTTGAAAGAGCCACAGTGTCATCAAGTGGTTAATGAGTGAAATACATGTAGGTGTGACCAAGAAAGTGTCACGATGCGGACGGGGGGTTTGGACCCAAAGTGCAGAAATCCAGGACACACAGGCAGGAGCGGTTGAAAAAACATAAAATCCTTTATTTTAGAAAATGATGAAAATCTAAAGGAAGGGAGGAAAAAACCTAACCACTAAACCAGGACTGACAAAAGCTCACTCACTGAGCAGGAAACCAGAGACTAGTACGGAGGGACAAAAACAACGCTGACATAGACACTGGACCAACAAGACAAGACAAGGCAAGGTTTTTATAAACAAAGAGGAGCAATTAGGGAAACAGGCAGCAGGTGTGTGGAGTGAGGGCTGGAGGGAAAGCAGGTGAATACAATTATCTAAATGGGGAACAGAACCAGAGGAGGGCAGATAAACCTAAAACTATAAAACACAAATCTAAACCAAAAGACTGAGGGCCCAAAATAAACAACTAATAACTAGATGGATAAGGAGTACTAAATAAAGATTGATTAGGAATGGGGAATGATTAGAAAGACACCTGAGGGAAGTCTACAGAGGGCTGGGGATAATAATGGGACACAAGAGGAAAACCTGGAGTGGGAACTGGAGGGGCTGGGGAACAAAGGGACACAGAATATGACAGAAAGTTTATAAAACCAGAGTTCAGACCTCGTGGTGGCAGGAGAAAAAGAGAAAAGGATGCCTTAAGCACAAATCCCTGCGGGCTGTTTCCATCTGGCCTAGCAGAACCCGGCGCTTTACAGTTGTCAAGTAATTAGCTCTCAGAAGTTATGGTAAAACTTAGAAGCAACTCCGTTTGTTTTGTTTTGACTTCCGACGAGAAACCGGAAGTCTGCGTGTTCAATCGAGTTCTCAAATTAAGAGTGAAACCCAATTTGGAACAATTTCTCTGATTCGATCTCGATTTGGATAATTCTGACTCACGATCTGAATTCCACGTTTGGTGTAGCTGGAGGAACCGAAAAGTCAAGCCACGATCGAGCATTACAATATCCTCTCCTTTCCACGATCGACATTGACCGACCAGGGAGCCAGCACCATTTAATCCAAAAAGGCCACGAACCAGGAACCATGGCTGTTGGAGCCACTGGCCACCCTTCCGGCGACAGAACGCAGGTCTGTGAGCATTTCTGGCTGGCTGGTTTTCTGCCACAAGCCGATTCGTGAATTCAGATTATTACATTTATTTTGTGGCGTGTATTATTTCGATCTCAAATTCACGTTTAGCTCTCAAGATCCCCTTACTTCTTCTGCCATAACGAGCCACACGAACACACACACACACACACACACACTCCTGCATTCTTATACCCATAGGAACACACGCACACACATGCTCACTTTGTTCTCCTTTCAGAAATTAATCCTAATATTTACTAAAATCCTATGTGTCACCAAATTTCCACTTTTATTACGGACTAGTTATGTCATAGCACTGCCATAAGGCTTTGGGTTTATTCACTTACTTATTCTCATGCATGAAACAATAAGCTGTGTTTGGTTCTCTTTGTCAACTGTCACAACTGATGTTTGTAATAAACTCACAAAACGTAAAATTGCCTGATCATTGTCTAACAGTTCTCGGGAATAATTGGCGCATTCTGTCAAGAATTCATCCTTTAGATTAATTTGTGGCGTTAACTTAAAGACTGATTACATTGCGAAGATATAGATATTAAATCCTACGGTACAGTTCCGAAAACTGGTGGTGCCCCGATTAATTAATATAAGATTATAAACAAGCTAAATCTACGCAACATTTGAAATATAGATATAAATCTATATTTATCGCTAAATTTGTTTGTACATCTGTGACATTTTAGGATATTTATTCATTAAACCATTTACACCCAGAAAGGCTACTGCCAACATAAAACAAATGTGCCAAGTTGTAAATGTTCCCCCAACTGGATATTGAAAAAACAGATTGAATCCTATTGTACATTTTCCCCGTTTTAAGAAAATAACTCTGGTTCTGGTTGCTTTTGGCACTCCCTGAGCTCAACAAAAAGTCACTTTCAGGGACAATTAATAGCTTTGTTGTTATGCTTGTTGTGTTCGACACTGAACTGTCCTTCAAGCCATTTAACTTTCTGCTTGTCAATATGTAAGCGTATGCACCTTTGAGTTAAGTCCCCCTGCCTTTCTGTCAGTGAAGGTGACCTTTAGAAAAGAAAAGCAAATCTTGTTTGTTTTTTTTGTCTTGAAAACACAAGTCTGCCAAATAAAAGAACAATTATACATGCATGCATACAAACACACACACACACACACACACACACACACATACACATATATATGTATGTATATATATATATATATATGTGTGTGTGTATATGTATATATGTATATACATGTAAAAATGGTAAATGGCCTGTATTTGATATAGCGCCTTCTAGAGTCCTGGAACCCCCCAAGGTGCTTTACAACACAATCAGTCACTCACCCATTCACACACACATTCACACACTGGTGGGGATGAGCTACAATGTAGCCACAGCTGCCCTGGGGCGCACTGACAGAGGCGAGGCTGCCGAGCACTGGCGCCACCGGTCCCTCCGACCACCACCAGCACCATATATATATATATAAATAAATATATATATAGATACATAAATATATATATATTTTTATACATATATATATATATATATATATATTATATATATATTTTTTTATATTTATATATATATATATATATATATAATATTTATATATATATATATATATATATATTATATATATATATATATATATATATATATATATATATATATATATATATATATATATATATATATATATATATATATGTATATGTATATATATTTATATATATATATGTGTATATGTATATATATATATATATATATATATATATATATATATATATATATATGTGTATATGTATATATATATTTATATATATGTGTATATATATATATATATTTATATATATGTATATATATATATATATATATATATTTATATATATGTATATATATATATATATATATACACATATATATATATATATATATATATATATATATATATATATATATATATATATATATATATATATATATAAATTCTTTGTCTAAATGTTCATCCTTGGAATTATTGAAGGTTTCAAATGGAAGGAGCAACATTCATTCATTTCTAGGTGGATTATGTGTTTGAATCCTTAACTTATGTCTCATCTTTCATATCCATAATAGTCTTGTGAAGTCTGAGTTTAAGGAAAGGGAGTTTACAACAACATTTTTTTTCATAACTTTTTGAACAACCTCAGTCTGGAGAAATGGAGTTTAGTTCTAACCCATCTGACAATCTAACATCTAATCTTAAACCCTAAATTGATTCCTGTCATCTAAAAACTATTTCTTAATCCTGAAAATATTGCTGCAAATTATGTAAAAACTATTTTACAACATATATGGGAATAACATAATTCATATGATTTGTGTCTAATTTAAATATTCAAACAGTAGCTAGCTGTAGCACCTCTTATGCTATACAGGGCACTTCCTGATAATAAAAAAATCATAAAAATCAGTACATTCTTCTAGACCATGCGTAGTAAACTACCTTCCCTGGGCATTTTGTAGTTGTTACTTTGTTTTAGCACACCTGGTGTTAATCAACAGGTGATTAACAGGCTTCTGCTGAGCCTGATGAGCTGCTGAACAGGTCAATATGGTGTCTTGGAGCAGGGAAAAAGCTAAAACATGCTAGATACCAGCCCTCAGGAAAGGGAGTTAACTAAGCCTGTTCTAGACATTAGTTCATAAAAAAATGTTTGCTTGATCTGCCACGCAACTTCTGTTGTTTTGATAGTTTTCCATGAGAACTACTCAGAGTAACTTGGACCGGTGCAGCTCAGCCTGACCCAGTTTCCAAAGGCACGTTTTGGTATTTCCATCTACTTCCTCCCCCATTTGTAGTCTCTTCTCTTTTGAGATTCCTGGCAAGTCTGAATCGGTCTGACATAATGATTCTGGTCGCCGATTGGCTAGGGGGCGGAGTCACTGGTTGCTACAGAGTTCTCTTCCATGCTGCTTCACTGCCTGCAGCCACTTCCTGTTTCAGAATCTCACAATGAGCCAAAAAAATATCAGAATGTTGAGCAACACCACCAATGTTCTGAGCTGAGTTTACAGCTTACATACAGATCACCTGGCACTGTTTACTGAATGAAAATAGCAAACTATCAATTGAAAATATGTTTATTAGACATCGGGGGAATTCTAGTATTTTTTATATGACTGATTAGTAAACTTGGGGGTTATTTGCCAGTATTTTTTAAAGTCTGCATTATCGATCTTTTATTGTTGTTTTTTGTCTTTCAGATGGGGCTTCAGCGCTGGTGGGAGCAGGAGATCCCTGTGGAGGGAAACATCGGTAAAGGAGAACTCATGACCCACAACCTGACAGAGTTGATCAAACCTGAATCCTACGAGGTGCGCCTCACCCCCATCACTCGTTTCGGAGAGGGTGACTCCACCGTCCGCATTGTTACCTACAGCGGTAGGTCACTACCCGTTCCTGTACACTTTACTACTATGAAAATAGTTTTTTAAAAACTGGTTAGAAGAGACTCAGAGATCCAGATAATATTGTTCTTTCTTCGTGGTTCAATGTGCAGCAGCTACCGTTAACAATCTTTAATAAACCCCTGATTTTTTTCTTGTGCAAACCTCAAACCTTCACTTTGGTTTCTACCCCCCACTTCTGTGATCACGATGTGATCTATAATGCATGACTTGCATGAGGAGAGACCAGTAAAAAAGTGAACTCCTAAGGGTATTCTGAACTGCATCTAACACGTTAAGCCATCAGAGGACAGCCTGATTTCAGCATGCTTTGCTCCTTTGCAGTTTGAGCCAAATGAATGCTGATCAACTGACTAATCTCTGCCTCTGACCTTTATTAGTTGAGTCAGGTTTATTCAGGACTGGGGTAAAAGCTGACTTGTTGTTTGTGTGCTTGAGAGCTCATCATCAAAGCATGACTCAAATGTTGGATTTGGGTCATGAGACCAAATAGAGATCGTCAGAGATGAGTAATCTTTTGCTTCACTCAGTATCCCTCTGAAACAACAGATTTTTTGGTGGGTTGGATCTCGTTATCATCTTTTTTGCTAGAAGACATGATATATGTTCTCAGACAACATACATTTTATGTTTAAATGGTGACCAAACAAAGAAATAATACCACTCAGAAGTGTTTATTTCAATGTGGTTAAATCTAGAAAACAATCATAAGAACAAATAATTCTTTTTATGCCACTGTTAAAAGGAAAACTCAGCATTTTGATGAGAATACAGAACAAGACTTGGGGAGGAAGACCTTTGAATTTTATTAGTCATTGTGATATTGCAGAGTGAGCGAGATTAACCAGAGCATTCAGAAACAGCCCGAGACCTCCCAGAGATGAGGAACATGCAGGTAAATGTAGCCGTACACTTGAACAACCAAATTAGCTCAAATGTTTGTTTCAGAAAAGTTTAATCAGCCTAAAGCAGAGTAACAAATTAATCTTTCCTTTAGCGGGAAAGTTGGTCTTTCTATTATTTATAATCATGCTGATCACTCATGAAAATGCTGTATAACTTAACTAGTAGAGGTGTGGACTTGAGTCACATGACTTGGACTTGAGTCAGACTCGAGTCAATCTTTGAATGACTTTTGCCTTGATCAAATCTCTAAAGACGTACCACTTGACTCGGACTTGAATGCCATTTACTTACAACTTGAATCGACTTGCAACTGTTGACTTGATGATGACTTGCGCACATTTGATATTTTAGCACAAAAGTTGCACGACAAGGGCAAAAACCAAAATTCTTCGTTCTGGGTGTGATCTCGTTCTGCTAAATGCAGCAGCACTTTGTTTATAATCTATTTCAGTTGCACTTTCTGCTTGTTTGAGCAAATAAATAAAGCTTTAAGAAGCTTTATGTCTGGAATGTATTTATTACTATTGTCATTAAATTGAAGTTTGACAGATGAGTTGAATACGACTTGAAAATTCTAAGTTAAGGACTTGGACATCCAAATCACAGACTTTGGATTCGACTTGGACTTGGTTGTCTTTGACTCTGACTTGACTCGAATTGAATAACTTTTATTTGAAACATTTTACAATGTAAATGTACCCAATTATAGCCAAAAGGCTCATTTCCATTGGTAGTCCCCCTGCCGATTGGCACATTGTATAAAACAACATTTAAAGTTATAAACATTTTAAAAACAATACAAGTAAAACATCTTGAATGGAAAGACTTGTGACTTGCAAAGCAGTGACTTGGTCACACTTCTGTTAACTAGAGACTGGTAATATTCATTGTATCTAAAAGGTGTAGATAAAAGGGAGAAATGTAAAGTACTATTTCTTTTTCTTCGTCAGTGGCAACCATCAACGTCAACAGGTTGGGTCATTTTGCCCTTGTTTAGAGTTTAATTTTTTCATCCACAAGGGTCAAATTAAAGTACTCCAGAAAAATAGTCCACAACATGTCTTATCCTCAAAATACATTTTTCCCATCACAGCCTTCATTAGCATCCTCATATTAGCTTCAAATTGTATTGACATCTCTCCTGATAGGTGAAGGCTTACACCCCTCTGCTGAGGAAAAAGTACCGCCCCTATTCCCACATGTAGCTCAAACTTACTCTAGGGAAGTTTTATTGTTGATCATCAGGTAGCCAATAAAGAACCCTCATGGCCTGCTTCTGCTAATTGAGTAAGAATGATTGTTATTGGTGGATTGCTTCGTTAAGTGTGTGTCAGACTTACAAAATGTCTACAGGGAGTGCAGAATTATTAGGCAAATGAGTGTTTTGTCCACATCATCCTCTTCATGCATGTTGTCTAAAGCCTGATTTATGCTTCTCCGTCTGCGTCAGTGCGGAGACACGCAACGCCATTATCTGTCCTTGCGTAGGGCACGCAAGTACGTACGGAGTCGAGCCCACTTTTTTAAACATCCGTCGAACGAGACGGATTACGCAAGCTTGTGATTGGTCAGGATGCCACTGTTGTTTACAGCGCTGCCATTGCAAAGAGAGCCGAGGATAACTAGCGGCAGACACGGAGAAGCTTGAAGAATACCTCGCGAAAAAACTCTAAAAATATGAACGTTTAATTCTCCCGTGACTGGAGGAGTGAAAAGATGCGCAGCAAGCGTTTTATTTGTGGACGGAAATGACAAGAAACAAGGGTTTAGAGGCGGGGAGCGCACGAAGCTGTGGGAGAATGAGAGAGAAATATGTCCGTGTTAAAAGTCTCTTATATACGCAAAAAACACAATATAAACACGCTATCTTGGACCGATACATGACAGGATACCACAGAACAGCGCTACGCCCTCTGTGGTTCTGCCGGGCAATTGCTTTGCAACACTCTCCTGGAGACGGAGAAGTAAAGGAGCAAAACGCTTCCATCAATCTGTGCGTGTCTGTCCCTTGCGGAGCTGACGGAGAAGCATAAACCAGGCTTTACTCCAAGCTGTATAGGCTTGAAAGCCTACTACTAATTAAGCATATTAGGTGATGTGCATCTCTGTAATGAGAAGGGGTGTGGTCTAATGACATCAACACCCTATATCAGGTGTGCATAATTATTAGGCAACTTCCTTTTGATTTTGTTTTGTGAGCGCTGTTCCAGACCACACTCCACACTAGTTGGTGACGGTAATGCACCATTCGTTGTTTGCCAACCGCCAATAAAACACCAGAAGAAGAAGAAGGCAACTTCCTTTCCTTTGGCAATATGGGTCAAAAGAAGGACTTGACAGGCTCATAAAGGTCAAAAATAGTGAGATATCTTGCAGAGGGACGCAGCAGTCTTAAAATTGCAAAGCTTCTGAAGTGTGATCATCGAACAATCAAGCGTTTCATTCAAAATAGTCAACAGGGTCGCAAGAAGCGTGTGGACAAACCAAGGCGCAAAATAACTGCCCATGAACCGAGAAAAGTCAAGCGTGCAGCTGCCAAGATGCCACTTGCCACCAGTTTGGCCATATACCAGTTTGGCCATATTTCAGAGCTGCAACATCACTGGAGTGCCCAAAAGCACAAGGTGTGCAATACTCAGAGACATGGCCAAGGTAAGAAAGGCTGAAAGACGACCACCACTGAACAAGACACACAAGCTGAAACGTCAAGACTGGGCCAAGAAATATCTCAAGACTGATTTTTCTAAGGTTTTATGGACTGATGAAATGAGAGTGAGTCTTCATGGGCCAGATGGATGGGCTGTGGCTGGATTGGTAAAGGGCAGACAGCTCCAGTCCGACTCAGACACCAGCAAGGTGGAGGTGGAGTACTGGTTTGGGCTGGCATCATCAAAGATGATCTTGTGGGGCCTTTTCGGGTTGAGGATGGAGTCAAGCTCAACTCCCAGTCCTACTGCCAGTTTCTGGAAGACACCTTCTTCAAGCAGTGGTACAGGAAGAAGTCTGCATCCTTCAAGAAAAACATGATTTTCATGCAGGACAATGCTCCATCACACGCGTCCAAGTACTCCACAGCGTGGCTGGCAAGAAAGGGTATAAAAGAAGAAAAACTAATGACATTTCCTCCTTGTTCACCTGATCTGAACCCCATTGAGAACCTGTGGTCCATCATCAAATGTGAGATTTACAAGGAGGGAAAACGGTACACCTCTCTGAACAGTGTCTGGGAGGCTGTGGTTGCTGCTGCACTCAATGTTGATAGTGAACAGATCAAAACACTGACAGAATCCATGGATGGCAGGCTTTTGAGTGTCCTTGCAAAGAAAGGTGGCTATATTGGTCGCTGATTTGTTTTTGTATTGTTTTTGAACGTCAGAAATGTTTATTTGTAAATGTGGAGATGTTATATTGGTTTCACTGGTAAAATAAATAATTGAAATGGGTATATATTTGTTTTTTGTTAAGTTGCCTAATAATTATGCACAGTAATAGTCACCTGCACACACAGATATCCCCCTAAAAAAGCTAAAACTAAAAACAAACTAAAAACTACTTCCAAAAACATTCATCTTTGATATTATTGAGTTGTTTGGGTTCATTGAGAACATGGTTGTTGTTCAATAATAAAATTATTCCTCAAAAATACAACTTGCCTAACAATTCTGCACTCCCTGTAAATGTCACCGGCATAAAGATATTGCCCATCGTCACCTGTGGGACTGGCAAATTTTGCTTGGGACAATTCCACATATTGCCTAACCTTTGCAGATACAACAATTCATGATACCCTTAACTGAAAATGACGCAGAATTAGACTTTTCCTGACATGTCCGACTGCTTTTTAAGCCAATAAGCCCCGCGGCTTCTTCTTTTCCTTGTGTCTGCCCTGAGGCACTAAGTCCAGCCAGCTCTGAGGTAACAATAAATATTAAATGCTTAATGTCACAAACAGCACAACTCTTTGAGAATTCAAAAAAATTGCTTTTTTTTACCACTGCAGGAATTTACATGAACATGGGTGGGTTTTCCTACCTTACAGGATGTTCAACTGACCTTTAGCTACTTCAC